TTTTAAAGAGTCACACCCAACACCGAGTATGTATAGAAAAGCTATTTGTATAACTCCACAATATTCCTAAATGATTCACAACTCACTATAACTTCAAAACACTTCCTGTCCAAAGGAACAAATTAAATCTGCACGCACTCTTACTCCATTTCTCTAATTGAACATTTTTATATTTGAACTGTTAACTGAGATTGATTTGGGGCTGACTGGCAGCCTTGATATTGTTGTAGCATCTGGACCATAAGAATGGCTTTAGTGGAATCTGTTTGACTACATCTTTCTTAGAGAACAGGTTGAACTTCCTATGCCCTTTTAATCAACTGTCCACATAATGAGAAGTATAAAGCCAAAACTTCCTATTTATTCAAAGCCTAAAATCTTCCTCTTGCTATTAAACTTAGCCAGTAACATCCAAATACTCATTTCGATTCATGATTTTCAATTATATGAAGCTTTAGCATCTGGGTTAAAAAGATTCCAGAACAAAAGGAACATTAAATGTTTAAACATTAAATGTTTAAAACAAACAGAAAAACAAATAAACCTAGGGCTATTGGTGGAAGGGAGGCAAAGTAACAAATACTGTTTTCACGGATTAGACTTTCCCTGCCTACATCAGTCCTACTAAGGAAGAAGCTTGACCTTCAGTCAAGGGACAAATGTACTAGAAATATAATAAGAAGAGTCATGTTGGCTAGCACAGAAATACTGTTTTGCCTTGTTAAAGAACTTCAGTCCACATCTGATTTTGTATAAATTACAGCAATAATGTGCATATATCTAGCAGGAAGATTGCTTACACAATAAAAACCATGAGGTTGAATGTAAGATCTCTGAAAAGCATCAGATTCACAGGACCCTCCAGTTCGAGGTTAACTCATGAAGATGACTACTCTCACCCTGGGTTAACTCCAGATCTTTCCCCCAGTTTAGTTAAGAATAAAGGACATCACAAAGAAGGTTAGATGCAGAGATAAATTGTTTCCAGTTCTCCAAGCTACCTAGATAAGAACTTAACTGGTCTGTTTTTAATTCCTTTGCATATTTTAGTGAAGCCACTCCCAATTCCCTCTTAGAGGCAATATCAATAGAATTTGGAAAATCAAAGCAATTCAAAAAGTGAAATGACTAGCCATGCTGCCAAATCAAAAGGTCCATTATTGCAAAGCCCTTTAACTGAGGAAGGTCCCTCTCAGAAGAGTTCCTGCATAAATTAACTTTATTATTGCAATTGGGATGTGAGGAGAAATAATGGTTGAAAGACTTAAACTGTTATTCTTGGAAGCAGTGTACCCTGATGTGTTCTGGGCTAAATTTAAATATGAATACATAAATAAATTGCCTTGATTATAAAACTAACAAAAAAGCCAAATAATCAATAGCTATTACTTGTCTTTGTCTCAAGAACACATATCACTGCAAAATTTCTCTTTTGTTATCAAAACTGGGTCTGAACCCAGTAAGGCCAAGTGGTTTGGTCAGTCTTAAAAAGAAACTGGAACTAGAGTTGGTTAAAGCTACATTCACCCATTACTACACATAAATCAGAAGCTTAAATGAGTGAGTGCAATCTTGAAAATATCTGACTTAACTTGGCCCACATACCTACTGGTAAAAAGAAGTATGTCCACATTGTCCCTATTGCAGTATTCTACCAAAGATCAAAACAGGCAAAGTTCACATAGGTTTGTATACTGCCTCGTTTTAAAAAAGAAATTGAGAATAGTATAGCTGTAAAATGAAGTACATCCAAATAAATGAATATAGAAAATAGAATGAAGGCAGAGATGAGGTCCCAAATGTACAACATTGTCCTGTTCTAGGACTAAGTATGCTTGTTACCTGGTGGGTCCCCTAGAACTTGGAGAACTTGGTGCAGAATGAGTTTCCATGGATTCATATTTTTCAACATTGGACACATGTCAGCACCTATTTAGGCATCAGAGCTGCCCCTCTAGAACTCTCAACACATCTGAAAATGAACTTCATTGTGAGTTTTTACCTAACATTCTTTCATAATTCTGAAGAATCTTCCAAAATTAATCCCAGTCATAATTTTGGAATGCCACACGAGAACTGATCAGGGAACACATAACAAGAATTGCACCAAACACTTCATTGTGTGTTCATGCACGTGCACACACAGAAGCACAACTCCTCTTAGGGATTGTAACTCCCTACGTAAACTTTGAAGGCACAATATACTGCTTTATACACCACGTCTGAAGAATAATACTTGCACTAAATAAAATAAATAGTAAGGAGTAAATTAGAAAGAATCCAACCGATTTCTGTTTTTACCTCGTACTTAAATTATAGGTTAAATGTTTTCCCAGCCAGGAAGTTGAAGGCTGTGAGGGAGGAGGGGAAAACTAGATTACATGGGATTCCTTCTAGCTCATGAAAGATAAATATAAACTCCTAGCTTCTTCCCTGTTGACGCAATAAAAATCAAAGGTGCTCTAACTAGCCGAAGCTCCTTTTTTAAATTTCACGTTATTCTTTGATCCAGAACAACGTGTCTACACGGAGTTCCTGCAGCGCTGGGAGAAAGAGGAGCCTGGGCACGGGAGTCTAAGCAGCAGCCCTCGAGTACAGGGGTTTGCAGAGGCGAAGAGCAGGCGTTTCTGTCACCTGTTCAGCCGGAGACTTGCTGCCTGTGCAGGGGCAGCACGTTCCCGACCAACCGGGCCCAAGCTGGCTTTGGCCCCCAACTCCTTCACCTTGGTAAAAGCTGGAGTTCTTCCGAAACTAGGCACCTCATTTCGCATTCCAAACGGCGTGCGTCGGAGGAGATGGTAGGGAAAGCTACCTGCTGTTGCATTTACGTTATAAATGCCCCCCCCCCCTTTTTTTCCTTTTCATTTTGAATCAGCCGGCCTAATGAACACTGTGTAAAAGCAACCTGGCCGGCCCTAGTCGAGTGCTGGAGAAGAAGGCAGCCCCAGCCCCGCGCCTGGCGAGCGCCCCCTGGTGGCCGGACGCGCCGTAAGTGCCGCTGCGCCTGCGTTCACCCCGAGGCAGTAAGAACTAGGGCGTCGGGAGAGCGGCTGGGGTGGGGAGGGGGGCGCGGTAGACCGGTGCCTGCAGCCCCGGGGACGCGGCAGAGCAGTCTCAGCGAGCCTTATCCACTCTCACCCGAGGGTGGAGGGACGTAGGGCAGCGCCCGGAAATAACGCATGCCACTTCCCCTGCCATCTCTGGTTCCAAACCCCGGGCGAGGGAGAGAGCCCTAAAGAAATATGGAGAAGGGAGTGCGAGAACGCTGCGCGGCTGGGAACGTACCCGGGACATTCTAGAGCGAGAGCTCGGGAGAAGGCAGCGAGTGCCAGGGTAGCTGCAAACGGACGTGGGCTGGAGCTGGAGCGGGGAATCAACTACCACGTTTTCCTAGCACTGTCTCAAAAACTCTTAACTTCACACGGGGGCAAGATCGCAGGTGCTATTCGGGAGTACTAGCCGTACTTCCCTGTAAAAACATTCTGTAAATCATTTGAATCCAATATTAGGAGGGGGGGGGGGGCAGTGTAATTTCTCACTGGTTCTGTCACGTGCAAGCACGTTTCTCAGTAACTGAAGGGCAGTCAGAGCAGTGTATGCATTTCCATCTCTGTACTTATATTTTTAAGTAGGAAAACACAGTCCATATTGTCAAAATGGACAATAGGCTCTTCTTGAGAAATGTTCTAGGTGACAAGGAGAGTAGGAAATGAAGGATGACTTCTGGGTAGGTGGAGGAGGAAATATGCAGTGGAACAGCGAGCCCCCCTCCCACTTGTGAAGCCTGTGATGTCGCTCTTAGTAATCTTGTACGTGTGTATTACTGAATTAAGTAATTTTTAAAAGGCTTAGATTGTATAATTTCTTTCAGCTATTGTATAAAACAAAACAGCAAGAAAGCTCTTCAAAAAGCCTCCAATCTATATAGCTAACTGCCCTTTTAAAAAACAAAATCTAATGTTAAACTGAAAAACTATAAATCGACACAATCAAAAGCAAATGCCTGGCCAGAGCAGAAGGTACTTGAAACCCGAATCTGCATTCCGTTCCTCTAGTACACGGCTCTGAGGTGGGGGAGGCGGTTTGTGCTGGTGCCTGGTGTATAATCGGGTTAATCCAGTAGACAAAGAATAAGCCAATAGCCCTCCCACCTCACTTCCCGCTCCCCTTCCCCTCCCCCTTCTTCTCTCCCCGTCCCCCTTCGAGGGGGATCAGAAAAAGGGAGAGGTGGGCTTGAAATGGACTCTGAATAGTCTTAAAACCTGCAACTTGTTTTAAATGCTAGCACTGCGTGGCCCGGATTAGTTTTAAATGTTCATTCCCTTTTCCTAGTGGTGGGGAGAAAGTTCCATAAATCAGCCCGAGCCTATGGCTCGTCTTCACGGCCTCTGGGGAAATCATAAGGTCAGTGTTTCCTTGAAACTAGGTAAACTGACCCCGCCGTGCCCAGCCGGCCCCGCGGGCGCCCCGCGTGACGGCGCCCAGGCGGCAGGACGGGCCTGGGGACGCGCAGGGCGGCGCGATTGCCCTTTTGAATGCCTCCTGCGGCTCCGAGCGCTGGCGGGCGCTGGAGTGTGAGTGAATGTAGCCCTGCGGAGCCAATGAGCTGGGACCGGATGCGATATATCCTCTGGGACAACAACTGCTCTGTTCCGCCTCGGATCCACATGACGCCACTTACTGCTGCCGCGGCCGCCGCAGAGCTGCCTGCCTCCTCCGGAAAGGCGAGGGCGCAGGCCAACCGCGAGCCCCCCCCGGCCGGGCCCCAGATCCTCCTCCTCCTCCTCCTCCTCCCTCTCCTCCTCTGCACCCACCGCCCCCGCCTCGGCCTCGCCGCCGCGCCTCCACAACGCCCAGTCTGCACTACCGAGAGCTGCGCGCCGCAGCGCGAGCGGAGGAGAGGGGCCGGCGGAGCGCGCAGCGCCCAGGCCCCCGCGCCCGCCCGGCCCGGCTCGCGGCCCCGCGCCGCCTCTGCTCCGACGCGGTGGCAGCCTCACGACTTGGCCATCTGGCTTTAGGTTCTCTGTAAGGCCGTTTTCTTTTCTCATTTGCTCATCTGCCAGGAAAAGAGACTCGCCGTTGGCGCTTTGGCCTCCAGTTCATTGAGAAAAAAAGAGGAAATACTCCGCGTGCGCTTCTGGAAAGGGGGGTCGCCTCCAGCCCCGAACCCCGTAGAGTTCTTCGGCTGGGGACTTGGCTCCGGATTTTCCTCTCCTTTTTAACTCCCGCCGACTGCTCGGAAGTTGGACTGAAGCAGAGTTTGGAAAGAAGAAGGGAAAAGTTTGCATCGGGGCTGGAATTATTTGCACATCGCAGGAAGAAGAGAATCCAACGGAGAGGAGTTGGTGCAAAGCCGCGATCACGGTGAGGCGCGTTCGGCTCTTCCCCTCCTGGCGCCGTGGCCGGCGCGTAGTAGGCAACATGGAGTAGGTGCAGACGGACCGGGAGTGGGGTCTCTCTCCTAGGGCCTCCCATTCTCTAACTCCCGGGTTCCCCGCGGAGATCCAGAGAGCTGCCCGCGGGTCTGCCCAGCCAGGAGCTCGGCCTGCCTAGTCGGGGGCTGCAGTGCGCGCCCGGTGCAGTGTCCCCGATCCCACGCGCCCGCGCTCTAGGGAGTTAGGGTGGCGGAGGCTCGCGGAGAGTCGGCTCCCAGCCCAGTATTGGTCCCGAAATCGGCTCTGAGAGCTGGAGAGGGAAGAAAACACTTCGTGTAATCCAGGTCGCCGTTGCTGGCGTCCGCATTTCTAACCTGTTCCTCTCCCGGGAGAACGAGTCCTGGGAGAGGCTGTCCCGAGGCTGGGGGTGCCTGCGGGACCGAGGGCGCTCAAGTCTCTCGCCTCACGGGGGCAGCGAGACCCCGCGGGTGAAAAAAGGACAGGGGGTTGGGTGGAGGGAGCCCCCGCCTCTGTCCCGTGTGGACAGAGAGCCCGGTGCGGGTGGGAGCGTCGCCCTGCCTGGCGCCGGGTCTCTGCGGTTCGGAAATGCAGCTTTCTCTTTTTTCCGTTCTCCGTGGTTGGCCTGGGTCACACTTTTTTTATTTTTGGAAGATTGGGCTGACCCAACACAGGAAGAAAGTCATCAAGCGGTCGCGATCATTTTCCATTACCTGAAAATGGGTGGTTAGAGAGGCTAGTTTTTTTAAATTATTTCCTTTGAGTGGTTGATCTACATTTTTGTTGTTGCTGCTGTTTTTTAATTCGGAATCTTGAGCGTTTTTACAAAGTGGTTTCTGTGTCGGGTTGCCCCACCCTTGTGCTGAAGTCCCTTCCCCCTAATCCTTAGTCTGATCACACACTTCTTAATGGGGATTTCAAAGTAATTTAAAAGCGGGAGGGGGGGAGAGGGGGCTCCGGGGCGGGGCGAGCGGGTTGTGAAAGAGGCCAGGGGTCAGCAGAAATAACTTGTTAAAGAAAAAATCTCCCTCCCCCCAAAGATGCTGCTTTCCACTGCTAGCATATCTGTGCGGAAAGTTCCCAGCCCAGGGATGTGGGTCCTGCATGCCCGACGTGTGCAGTGGGCCCTGGAAAATGTCCTTTCTTTAAAAAGTAATTTACTTTTAAGAAATACAGACGTGTGTGTGTGTGTCTATATCTTAATGTATAGACGTATGCAAATTGCAGGCGATGCCCCTTTGCTCAGTGCACGATGGAGTCGCCCTGCGTGCGTGGGTTAGACCTCGGTGTCCCGGCTGTGTGTCTAAGGCAGGGCTTTCGTCCTCCAGGCGTCGGGGCTGGAAACCCGTGCCGGATGTTCGAGGGCCCTTGCGGGAACGCCCTGCGGTGGGCTACGTGACCTCTACTTGGGGGTGGAGTGGCTCCATTTGGAGCTGGGAGGCAGTTCTCTGGGGTGGGGGAGAATTTTAGCTGGAAAAGGAGGGTAGGGGGAACTGTGCTCGAGCATTTCACAGCACGTCCCCTTCGGAGGCGTCCGAACCACTCCCACCCCACCTTGTCTGTCCTCGGGATTGTGCGCAGGGGGGGCAGCCTGGCTTCTGGGCTACGTCAGTCGTCCGGAAGAAGAGTCCCTCGGGGCTCCGACTATGTCCCACCTGCTCCGGACGGTGTTGGGGCGCTGATAGAGCTGATAAACGCAGTGAAAGCAAGAGCAACGCTGTCTTGTCTGCCTTTCTGTTGGAAGTGAGATCCGGTTTCCAGCTCTGCCTTGTGCGGAATTGGGAGGCGTGTGTCACCTGCCTGTGTCTCTTTTCTAAAAATCGGAGGTTGGATAAAGGTTCCACTTTTGCCCGTTTTTATTCATTGTAGACTAAGTGGTAACGGGGAGGGTAGTGTTGAAATTTATAGAGAGATTGCAATTAAAGCGATTATTTGTCAGAATGATGGATTTGAGATGTGACACTTGAATTTTTAAAACACTTCCTGTTGTCACCAACCGGTTTATGTTCTCAACTGTGTGTTTTTGTTTTAGAAACGGGCAAAGTATTTAAGATTTTGACATTTATTTCTAAAACAGGAGAAGAGTCCGCTACTGAATTTTAAGTTCTTGGCAATCAGGCTGTAAAATATTTGACTCTGAAGTTGAGAAGTTGAAAATAAGTTTCTATCTTGTTGCTTGTTGTGTGAGTTTGCTTGCTTGTGTTCCTGGCACCTAACAGGATTTGAGTTGATTTGTTTCTAATTCTAAACCTTTGTGCCTGCTATGTAGTGAATGATAGTGCATGATTGTTGTAAAATTTATAACTATTCTTTGGGGAGGGGATGTACTTTTTGCATGCTGTATTTATCTTACTGAATTTCATAAAGTTACTAAATACTAGCTAAATAATAGTTTCAGGTATATGATGTAAAAGCAGATTTAAAGTAAGAATTTCTAGGCTGTATTTATTAGCACTAAAGACAAGTGACTATGATAATCTTAAATCTTTTCAAATTTCTAAAAGGTTCAACTTTTGAAAATGTCATTTGCTGTGGCTATGCTCTAACATTACTTTCTCAAAATTTTTACATGGACTCTGAACCTTGCAGATTTTATGTTTATTTGAATAAGGAATTGTTACTTAAGTGATTGAAACAAAGATCAGCTTTGTGTCACTACACATCACAAGATTAAAGAATTGTCAGTATCCAGCCCAAATGTTTACGTTTTGGTGCAGGCATGGATCATGTGGCTATCCTAATAAACCCCACAGCCATTCTGGTACAATTCCTGTGTCTCTAGGGGAAGTGGGAAATGAAGAGTTAACTCAGGTGGGTGGAGAGTAGGAAGTATTCTGGAGTGTAAACCTACTCTTTCCTCTTGGTTTCCACAGGAATTCAGATGTGTTCTAAGCCTGCTGGAGTGACCACACTTCCAAGACCTGATGGAGACCAGAGCTCAGAGTGGCAGTGGGTCACAGCCCTTGCTGCAGGCACCCCGTGACGGTGGCAGACAGCGTGGGGAGCCTGACCCTAGAGAAGCCCTCACCCAGCAGGTACACGTATTGTCCCTGGATCAGATCAGAGCTATACGAAACACCAATGAGTACACAGAGGGGCCTACTGTTGTCCCGAGACCTGGCCTCAAGCCTGCTCCTCGCCCCTCAGCTCAGCACAAGCACGAAAGACTCCATGGTCTGCCTGAGCACCGCCAGCCTCCCAGGCTCCAGCATTCGCAGGTCCATTCTTCAGCACGAGCTCCTCTGTCCAGGTCCATCAGCACGGTCAGCTCGGGGTCTCGGAGCAGTACGAGGACAAGTACCAGCAGCAGTTCCTCTGAACAGAGACTGTTGGGACCATCCTTCTCCTCTGGGCCAATTGCTGATGGGATAATCCGGGTGCAGCCCAAATCTGAGCTCAAGCCAGGTGAGCTTAAGCCGCTGAGCAAGGAAGATTTGGGCCTGCATGCCTACAGGTGTGAGGACTGTGGCAAGTGCAAGTGTAAGGAGTGCACCTATCCCAGGCCTCTGCCGTCAGACTGGATCTGCGACAAGCAGTGTCTTTGCTCGGCCCAGAACGTGATTGACTATGGGACTTGTGTGTGCTGTGTGAAAGGTCTCTTCTATCACTGTTCTAATGATGACGAGGACAACTGTGCTGACAACCCATGTTCCTGCAGCCAGTCTCACTGTTGTACACGTTGGTCAGCCATGGGCGTTATGTCCCTCTTTTTGCCTTGTTTATGGTGTTACCTTCCAGCCAAGGGTTGCCTTAAATTGTGTCAGGGGTGTTATGATCGGGTTAATAGGCCTGGATGCCGGTGTAAAAACTCAAACACAGTTTGCTGCAAAGTTCCCACTGTCCCACCCAGGAACTTTGAAAAACCAACATAGCATCATTAATCAGGAATTATTACAGTAATACGGATTGTTCCTTTTTTTTTTCTTTTTTTCCCCTTTTTAACACATATATGCAACCAACTAAACCGTTATAATCTTGGCACTGTTAATAGAGGATTGGGATATTCTTTGCTGTTTGCAGTGAAATGCTTTTGTCCATGTGCCATTTTAACTGATATGCTTGTTAGAACTTCAAGGTGTGGGATACAGAACCTGGCGACTCACATGTTGCATAAGCTAAAGCAACAGACACTCCTAGGCAACATTTTTGTTTGTGAATAGTTCTTGCAAAATTTGTAAATTAGCAAATGACTTTTTTTTTCATTGTTTTCTCCAGAGATAATGTGCTATATTTTTGTATATACAATAATATTTGCAACTGTGAAAAACAAGTTGTGCCATGCTATATGGCACAGTCACAAAATATTATACTAATATGTTGTACATTCGGAAGAATGTGAATCAATCAGTATGTTTTTAGATTGTATTTTGCCTTACAGAAAGCCTTTATTGTAAGACTCTGATTTCCCTTTGGACTTCATGTATATTGTACAGTTACAGTAAAATTCAACCTTTATTTTCTAATTTTTTCAACATATTGTTTAGTGTAAAGAATATTTATTTGAAGTTTTATTATTTTATAAAAAAGAATATTTATTTTAAGAGGCATCTTACAAATTTCGCCCCTTTTATGAGGATGTGATAGTTGCTGCAAATGAGGGGTTACAGATGCAAATGTTCAATATAAAATAGAAAATATATTAACGTTTGAAATTAAACCAAGCTCTTTTGTCTTATTTTACCTTTTTGTTTGTTTGTTTGTTTAAGTAAAAGAAACTACATTTTATGTTAAGGCTAGCATTTCAGTGAAATAGTTTCACTGATTTATAAGATTATTTTTATCTATGGTTACTGATTTAAAGTACGTGGAGATCTGATGATTTACAGAGATAATTCTAGCAATCAGGAGAAAAATAATAGCAGTTGACACACATCTGTATCAATCATGAAGATTTTGGCTTTATCATTGCTCTTATTCTTCTATCTGCTTTTGTAGTTTTGCATGGTGGTTGTTGCTTTTTAATTTTAAGCTGATTTATTTAGGAGACTTCCCTAAAGGATTAACAAGTAGACTTTCTTTATATCCAGTATTAAGAATGAATGTCATGAGGCTAATTCAAGACCAGAGAAATGAATTTAGTTCATCAAACATTTATTGAATATCCTCTGTGTCAGGCATGTAGTATACACATAGAAGTGCTTATAAGTGAGGCAGGAATGTTTTCTTAGTTGATCATGGTTATGTTTTTTCCAGTCCGTTTGGTTTTAGTCTCTCAAGATTTGTGTTAATCACCATGATACCAAATTCCTTATGTTAGGAAAGTCATGGAAAATAGAACTTGTTTTTTATTCAAGTAAAGAGTATCATGAAGTGTCATCCTATATTGAGACCCAATAACTCAGGCTCAAGCAGGACAACTTGAGATGGCCCTGTCTTATTTAATCAAATCATCCTGAAAATTGTTAAACTTTATTCTGAGAAAAGATGCAGTATGACAATAAGTCTGTGTTTGCGGTTGTCTTTTGGGAGCAAACAGAACAAGCAGCTACATGCTCATCTTGACAAATACAAGGATTTGTTATTTATAATAAGTCACTTCATTAATTAGTCACTTTGTGGCGGATGATTTTTTTCTTTGAAAAGCACAACCTTTCGCTGCCAAGAATCACCGGAAGTCTAGGAAATGATTTACCTGTCATTATTGTTTAATCTCTCGTTTCCCTTTCTGAGGATCCTCTGGCTGAGGTCTTAGTACAGGTTGTCTTATGTTTTGTTTTGTTTTGTTTTGTGTTTTTAACTGGCTTTCAAGGAACTATATAGCCTTCTAAACCAACACATTGCTGTAAAGACTCAGTTACTCCAAAATACAGAAAGTTACATTAATTTAGAAATGATTTACTCTCTAAGTTTCAACTTTGGGATATTGATTGTTGCAATTGTGATACTCTTAAAATGTAACCCTTAAAATGATCTAAAAGGATTAAGAATGCTTAAAAGTTGGGCAGGGTTTCTTATTCATTAGATGGTTTGCAAGATTTGTAAAGCACACAAAATTTGACTAAGTAGCTCTCATCAAAAACTGCCATATACTGATAGATCTTCTTTGGTAAAGAAGTAAGAAAAAACATTTTTTTTTTCACTGCATAAGCAGTTTTCAAAGTGTTGTACAGGTATCAAGCCACTGGGACCCTGACTAGTTTGGTTCAGCGGTTAGAGCGTTGGCCTGTGGTCCAGAGAGACCCGGGTTTGGTTCCCGCTAAGGGCACATACCTCTGTTGCAGTTTGTCCCCGGCCCTGGTTGGGTGGCGTGGGAGGCAGCCACTCGATGTGTCCCTTTCACATCAATGTTTCTCTCTCTCTCTCCCTCCCACTCTATCTGAACAAAAAATGGAAAAATGTCTTCAGGTGAGGATAAAAAAATATATACTAAAAAAAAAGAAAAAGCCTTTGGGTGTTTATTGAAGGAGGTCACTGAATCAGTCTCTGATGGTGTGGCCTAGCAATTTGCCTTTTTTAAAATCATCACTCGAGGATATTTTTATTTTTATTTTTTTATTTTTTTTAGGCAGAGAGGAAGGGGGAGAGAGACATCAATGTACATCTGTCATTTGCCTCCAGTATGCAGCCCAGGTGGGGATTGAACGGGAAACCTTTTTGGTGTATGGGACAATGATAACCAACTGAGCCACTGAGGCTGTCTAGGCATTTGCATTTTTAATTGTTCCACTAGTGATAATGTGTACTTTGACAACTCACCAAGAGATTGCTTTCTAATTTAGCTTTTTACGTTTTTTTAATAGAGTCCTATGTGAAAGCATAATTCACTAGGTTGAATGTAGAACATGGTTAGAAGAGGGTTTGGTGTTAGTATTTATGAAGTCTTGATGAAAATTATTTAAAGATAAGTAGGAAAACTGGATACCTCGGTTGGCTTACAGCCAACCTATTAAATGTTGAGTATATCTCTAAACCAGTATGTAATTCATTTTCAGAATATGGAAAATTAAATGTTTATGTCTAAATAGATTAAAAACAGCTGGTGCTCTTCAGTGTGTTAAAGATAATTTTTTTAATTTTACAAGTCCTCTCACTGAAATAGGCAGCAATAAACCATCTCAAGTTCTTAATCTGAAGATTCATAAATATAGTGAGTTTAAAATCATTGCCTATTATTTTGATATTGTGATAGGTTCAAAATATAATGATACAGCAAACAGCAGTTGGTTGCTAAACATTTATGGAAATCAACTATATTTTTTTGGTTTCTGGCATTTTGATTTTTTTAGAAACCTGTACATTCTCTATATTAAGATTCATTTAAGAGTGACAGCTTGATTGTTACTTAAAACATTCATTTATGTGTTTTGAGGAGGAGATTTTTTTTTTAAGGCCCTGCCAAATTTCTGCCATGTTGGAGCATGTTCTGGGGATTGTCTGAAGGAAGAAAGCAAAAACTAAGTGCAGGTTCTCCCAACCAAACTTTGGCATAACTTCTCCCTCCAGTGCACGGGTGTCTCAGGACTGCTTGCCTCCAGGCTATATAAGAAGATACTGGTGATGTCAGAAAAGTGCATTTGCTCTTTGCACAGTGCTTTGAGGTATCTGATAGGCAGGTGAAGGGTTTGATGTAATTTATTAACTTTTGAGTATATAGGTCAAAATTCAAATGTTTAATAGGTTTAGAGTTTTACTTGTAGTTAGTTATATCCACAATTGGCCATTTGCCTTCCTGTCTTCAATGTGCAAAAGGACCAGAATGTCTGCAAAAGTCTCAACTTTGAAAATTGTTTAGTGTAGATCAAAAACAAGATTGTTATCTAATGCAGAATACTTTATAATATCTGAATAAAGAAAAAGAAAGAAATGGAACATTAAATAGTTACAGCAATACTGTATTAGTATCCATTGTTTGGTTTTCATTATTCATTAAGGCAAAAGTTATGTTAATTTCTATTTTAATTAGGAAAATTGCCTCATTTCTCTGTGACATACCAATGGTAGGTCTCCACTGATTGAAGACAAGAGCAGAATTTTAAAATAAGGCCTATCTGATTTGGCCTAAGTGATCATCAGAGTGAAACTATACATCTAATCGCTGGTTTGGCCATTTGTGAGAGGATAAAACTGTTAGATTATATGTGTATAGTCTGCATGGTTCTCAAAGCCTGAATGTATGTCCTATAGCTGGATTTTATTTGGATGCCACACCACCACTATATTACCATATCATGAGACAACCATGTGACTACCACTAATGAAAGTGTACCCCTGTTCAATATTAAACCTGAACTATTCATTTGACTTATCAAAAAAGGAAAGGGAGATAGAAATAGAGCAAGTAAGAAAAAAAGATTAACACTTTAAGTATTATCTATGGCCAGCAGATATTTCACTTTTTTTTTTTTTATCCTCACCCAAGGACATTTTTTTGCATTTATCTTCAGACAGTGGAAGGGAGGGAGGAGGGAAGAGAAACATTGATGTATCGATGTGAAAGAGACACATCGACTGGTTGTCACCCATACCACCCCAATAGGGGCAGGGACAAACTGCAACCGAGGTACATGCCCTTAGCAGGAACCGAACCCGGGTCTCTCTGGACCACAGGCTGACGCTCTAACTGCTGAGACAAATCGGCCAGCGCGATATTTCACATTTTTATTTAAAACTGTATTTTGATTGACAAAAATGTTTTGTTTTGTTTTTAAATATATTTTTATTGTTTTTTAGAGAAGAAAGAGAGAAGGAGAAAGAGAAACATCAATGAGAGAGAACATCGATTGCCTGCCTCCTACATGTCCCCCACTGGGGATGGAGCCCACAACCCAGGCATGAACTGGTGACCTCTTGGTCCATGGGTGGATGTTCAAACACTGAGCCACACCAGCTTGGCAACAAAAAAGTTTTAAAAGCCAGTCTTCTTTGGCAACCAACATTTTTTAAACAAATTATTAAAGAAGATTAGCATGAAGCCTGTTGCCTTGGCCTTGGCCATGGCTGCGTGAGGCATGGAAGGCTTCCCATACTGCAAAGGAGTTTATGT